ATTAAAAATTGATGGTCATTAAGCTGTTAAACATTATGTAATATTGCATCAAAATTTGAAGAAACCCCTATTTTGGGCACTGCTTCCATGATGACCATTTAAGGAAAATCATGTCACTTACTGTTCTCAAACTTACAGGAAAGAAACATGGGACTAAAATACAGCTTCAGTAGGCAATGCAGTCTGTTTGGTATTTTTATTTATTTATTTATTTATTTTGGCAGTTAAACAGTTTTTTGTGAAAATTTAATTTTTCACATATTGGCATTTTCAAGGTGTGACTTTAAAGTTCCATGATCTTGAAGACTTTTGCTTGTCACATTTTCTGAATGTCCATGTTACTAATATTTTATTAATAACATTTGATTGTCATTATGCTGTTAAACATTATGTAATGTTGCATCAAAATTTGAAGAAACCCCTATTTTGGGCACTGCTCCTATGATGACCATTTAAGGGAAATCATGTCACTTACTGTTCTCAAACTTACAGGAAAGAAACATGGGACTAAAATACAGCTTCAATAGGCAACGCAGTCTGTTTGGTAAATTTTTCTGGCAATTTAACAGTTTTTTGTGAAAATTTAATTTTTCACTTATTTGCATCTTTATTTTCTGTTCTTTGTCTGTACATTTGACAGCTTTGCTGCCTTGTTTTGTATCTTACTTTAATTGTCCCCTCAGGTACCGATATTTGGACAAATTAATAGTAGAACATAGCACTTTACAGCTAGTGGAAGTACTGATTGCAAGAACCCAAGTATATAAAAGGGCATCAGGGGACAGGTCCTTTTTTTCTTGTAAGTTAAAATTTTTGTCACAGAGACAAATGGGCCTGTTTGATGTAAGTCACGTCAGGTCCTGGTTGGTGTTTCAAGACTTAAGTTTTAGTTTTTGCATTTTCAAGCTGGGAGATTTGCCAATGAATGACATCACTTCCATTGTTTCTAGGGCTTTCAAAGTCTTGTAAGGTGTAAATACTAAGGGCTTTTCTTAGAGAGAAAAGTTCAGGCAATTGAAATGATTACCACATGTATAAATCAGAAAGAACAGAGCAGAAAAAATTCGCTCATAAGTGAATTTGTGTAAACTTAAAGATAATATCTTAAAAACAAATTGCTTTTTTTAATAAACCCAAATACCAAAATTGAAAAAAACAAGTATTATCAAGCTTGCTTTTCTGAAAGTTTAAAGGACCAGAGTTATTCATTGAAATTAGTTATTCAGACTTTGAAAATAATAAGTTAATTTTTTTAAAGAAGAACACAGCTCCTTGGCTGGAAATCTAGTACAAATGTCTTTTTGGAACATGTTTTGTATGAAAAGGAACTTGAATTTTCCTAAGTTTCCTAAGTTCCATGACTGGCTTTTCCTATCTAACTCTTACAGCACAGCTGTAGAAAGAAAGCAAGTCCACATATACAGATCACCTTGTATGTAAAACTCTACTTTTTGGCTATGTATTGGAACATGTCAATCCACTTGACACCCAAGAAGATAATGCATCTAAATACGTGGCAAAGGTCATTTTTGCAACTTAAAATATGAATGGAATAAGATTACTGGCTTTTATAGACTTTTGAGAAGATTAGAATATTTAGTTTCAATTCTGTTATTTCTTAAAAGGAAATTCATGGACTGAAAAATTGAGCTATCACTGTACAATTTTTCAAATTGAACATCTCTCCTTATCAGTTTATCTTTCTAAAAATAAATGTGTATGGCATATTCCCTCTGAAGTTGTCTTGGGTCCCTTTCATTTACAACACTTTGTCACAGGATAAAATAAATGTGAACAAGTACAATAAAACAAGTGCTGATAGCATCAAACAATCACAGAATTGTTCCCTGTCAGTCTCCATTTAAAGGAGCATGGACCATATCACGGAAGCGCAAAAGTTGACTTAATTGACCCAAAAGTCAACTGTCATTAGATCCACTTTATTCATGTTTTGGTATTCCTGTCCTTTTATCTTGGCGTCTTTTTCGGCTACATGAAAGGCCCTTATTGATAAAATATAAATTCTTAACATTGTGATGTTGCTGGTGTTGAAAAGCTTTTCATCATATAGCATGTGTTTTGGACAAAGGTAAGTTGTATTAGCACACCTGAGTGAAGAGGGTCTCCATCCTGGCCTTGTCAATTTCAGCATTTGAAATATGATAGAATGTACAAAAAGACATTATAAATTTACCTGTATCCCCCTCTCACACTGATGCTTTGTTGCATTTATAACATTGCTGTATGGTGTGTGTTTGTCCATGTGTCATCATATCTGTGTACACATTTGTATATTTTTTGTGTGTGTGTGTTTGGGGGGAGGGTAATTTGGTTATATCAGCATCAAAGAGTAACATTTCTGTTCACAAAAACATATTGGCAGTAGTGCATGAAAATTCATTTTTTAACTGAACATAAAGCATTAAAAAAAAACTTGAATGGGTAGTAGCTTGATACCAACTTGTTGCACTGTTATACATGTACATCATAATTTCTCCCCACTTTTTTATAGCTGTTATATTTCAGTAATCTTAATACATTGTCTTAGACATATGTTATAAATAAACATTCCAGGGTGCAGATGTGAAATTTTAACTGTCTATCCCACTACTCCAAGGCATCTAGTCTTTATGGTCGCCATTTATATACAGTTACTAGTAATACTTAATGTATTTTTCAAAGCATTGATTTGTAAAGTTAACAGTCTGTGTCCATACCTCAATTGTGTTATCTGATATCTGTCTTTTTTTAGGCTTTTCAAATTGCTTATGTGATAGTAAAAGCTGCCAACTCCCCCCGTCCAGCAAACTGGATCCTAGAGAGATCAGTGGATGGAATCACATTTACACCTTGGCAATACTTTGCTCTCAGTGATGGAGAGTGCTGGAATGCCTTTGGGGTCCCCCCTACAGTGGGAAGACCACGCTACAGGAGGGATGATGAAGTTATCTGTACTTCATTCTATTCCAGGCTGGATCCTATTGAGAATGGAGAGGTATTGTCTTCTTTGCAATGAAGTTTATTGTTTATTTTTTCAAGACTCTTAAAGACTTTTTAAGAATTCTGACATATAAAGATGTCATTTGAAATCAGTTTGGTATAGATTATGCCCTTTTGTTTGCTGCTCTTTTAGATTTCCTTTAATTGTGGTATAATTTTTAATAATCATAGGAGCTTGAGACACTCATTTTTTTTAACCAAATGGGATAGAATAACTGGGATGTTTGCTTTTATTATTGAAGAACTTAAAATACCAATCTTGAAAATTAAGAAAGTTTCAAATGTATGACTTTAGGATAAATATTTTCATTTTGTATATTACTAAAAATTTTTAAAGCAGCATTTCTGTCTGTGGTTGTAAGTAACTTTCTTTAAAGTTGTTGACAGTATACACTTAAACCATAGTTTATGGGAAGGGTGGCTTCTGTCTGTTGGTTGGCAGGACATCTTTAAGAGAGAAGTGGACATTTTGTGAAGTTTATTAGCCCCAGATGTTGACAGGGATAGGGCAGGATAAAATCTGATGAAAGAGCTAGGATGATATAGATCATAGCAGAGATGCACACAAAAGTGAATGTCCCTTTCCTAATAGTTTGGGCGTAGAGTAATTTCCTGAACTTTGATGCTCCTGGCTAACAAAAATAAAACCTGTTATTTATTGTTAAGCTACACAGGCAGATTTCAATGGAAGAGTGCAAAGGTATCTGTGGCATCTGTCTGGATTTTATGTTGTTGTAAAACACTGTCAATTTTTTAAAACTTTACTATATAAATGATAACAGTCAAAACAGACAATTTTTGTTAGTTTTTAACAAGAATATTAAATGTTATTTTCAGATCCACACCTCATTGGTAAACGGACGCCCAGGAGCTGTGAATGGACCAAGTGACTTATTATTGGTAATTATACCATTTGTAAAAATCTAGTACTTAAAATCTAAATTTGAAACATTCCAACAAGGGTGCTTAAATCACTAAGCATTGCAAGATGGTGGCATACTACAGTTTTTACTCTCAAATTTCATATTCCATATAGATTTTGAGTTATTCTAAAAAAGATTTCTCATTTTTGCATGAACCCCTTTTACTTTCCAGAACTTTTCAATAAACTTTCAAGGCATGTATTTATTACCTTTTTTTTTCCAAAAAAGTATTTTGGGTATCATAAATTATCTTCTTTTATTTTTCAAATTTTGTGAGCTATTAGTATTACCTATGTCCACCTGGCAAACATTATAGGTGTCAAGAGAGGTGATGACCCACATGTTAACTGTGACCTGTTAACTTCAACAACAAAGCTTTAATGGGAACAACAAGGCAGAAGTATTGGCTATCATAGATGGTTTGAATCCATCTGGTCAACTAACATGGTCATTTTCACTCGTGCCAATCAGAGGGCATCATGTTGTCAAGAAACATGTTTATTATGTTACTGTGCCTAAGTACTTAATCAGCAATTTCCTTTGATATAGTGTATGTGCAGGTTAATTAAGTTTTTTTTGTTTATTATTAATATAAATCAAATTATTTGGACATTTATGAAAATGGCAGTGTAGGCAATTTTACTGACAATTTTGTTCTGGTAATGATGAAATTTGATGAGAATTTGGGCACATCAGATGCAAATATGAGTGATCAAAATTCCAGACATCAGACACAAGACACATAAAGACTTAAAGTATTTACAATTTAGGTGAGGGACTATTACTTAAGTGATTGGGTGGTACTTTCTTGCTAATTCAAACCTGACATGTCAGTTTGTGTTAAGTATCGCCTCATTGAGCGCATGCAAAGTTTAGTCTTTATATTCAATTCTTTTGATTAAAAGTTAAAAGCTATGAAAAATGTTAAAGATTCAGGATTGAAGAATAATTCCAAATATTCCAAATTGGGTGAATATATCTTTATACTTGCAAAAGAAAATGTCTTTGTGTGAAATTGATGATATATATTCCAAGCCTTTTTTTATGTACAGACACAGATGTGTCTGTACATATTGCCATCACCTGCGTCTGTCGTCGCCGATGGCGATGGTGATGCCGATGCCGATGCCGATGCCGTGCACTTTCCTTGTAAACACGATAAGTGGAGGGCAGTTTTACTTTTTGGCTTTATATTTACAGAGCTGATGAATATTCATAAAACGCAGGTCAAGTTAGAAAATCAGCATGATCGGGCCATTATTGTAGAAGTTATGCTGTTTTTTCACTTTTCAGCATATATGCAACACTGTAAACACATTCCAAGGAAAACTGATAGGCCAATTGTCATTAAACTCACAGGAGTGGTCAATC